TTTTTAGCCGAGCCTAAGCGGCAATCATCTTCCTCCTCTGGGGTGAGCAGATTGTAGTGTTCTGATCACCGAGTTCTTTTGGGTTAGTTTCCACGGAAACCAGACGAATGAGTCAACTTGTCAAGTTCAGCCAATTCGGTCTTTCAGTTTGGGAAGCGAGCCTTGGATTTCCAGCTCGCGCCCCACGCAGAAGCACTGGAAACTAAAGTAAAAAAAAAGAAGGCAAACAGTGGCTGGATGGTGGCTCCGTGCCCAGATCTGGTCTCATTTAACCTCCCTCCTCCTCTCTGACTCCTTTTTTCTCCCACACTTTTTATATTCCTCTCATTTTCAGTTTTACCCATAACCTCCCTGTCCCCGCTTGCCAACTTTGGCCACTGCTCTCTCTTTCATCTTTTTGTCACCCCTCCGGTCACTTTCTGTCAACTACATCAAACACATTTAAACACTCACAGCTTCAAACGAACACAAACACTCAAATGTTTGTTCCTAGCAGTCACTTAAGGTTGGAGTTACTGTCTGTCATAACGATGTCCTTATTTTGCGTAGTGAACCCCTTTAATCTGTGAAAAATTCACAACTCTGAACCTAAAAAACTTCTAAAGGTAAATAACCCGGAGAGTCAAACTCCGCCAAGGCTGCCTGTTTCACAACAATTTCTCGGTGAAGCCGTTTGGCAGAAGGGATCCATGTCGTTGACCTCAAAATTCCCTTTCTGCTGTTTGCAGATGATGTGGTCCTGTTAGTGCCATCGTGGTGTGATCCTCAGCTCTCCCTGGAGCAGATCCCTTTAGAGATGAGGTGAGAAGTTCAGTTTCGAGGAGACTCGAAGTAGAATGGCTGCTCCTCCAAATCAAAAGGAGTTTAGGTGGTTCACCCGCTTCGAATGTTATCAGTCCATTAAATGGACATTATTAGCAGGTTATCAGTCCCATAGAATGGCTTCAGACTGTCAGCTGGTGCAAAAAGCCATTAAGGTTAATTTTAGAGAAAATGACCTGGGCTAGGTTCATATTGTTAGGTACACAGTCTGAAGCCATTCTACGGGACTGATAACCGATAATAACGTCCATTTAATGGACTGATAACATTCAAACCGGTTGGGTGGTTCGAGTAAGTGTGGCCCCTGGGTTCATCATGAACATGTCCAACTGGAAGACCAACAGCATTCAGGAGAGACTCTTGGTTGGCCTGGAAACACCATAAGGGTCCAACATACTAGATCTGAAGCCAAACAGTTGATGCAAAGTCACATGGTTGCTCGCCATTAGTTTTCATGTACACCTTTCATAGCTCTTGAGACAAACTGCGCCGATCTCTTGGGAAACCCCTCCTGCTTTTGTACAAGTCACAGCACGGGGTTTGTTCTGATGCATTCTACACCCCGATATCTGTTGTTCCAATGTATTCTCACTCCCCCCGCATCAACATATTGATGCTTGGTCTGGTAGCCTTTTGCGTCCAGTTTTGACATGCCAGGTACCTGCGTCAGTTTTGTTTTCAAGATGAGGCAGAGGAGGACGGGCGCATTGTTCTATTTTTTACAAGAGTAGGAAATGCGCGAAACTAACCATCCCAGACCCCACATTTAACCTATATTAGCTATATACAGCCTATCCCTGACCCCAGCATCTCAAATCAACCATTAATCCTGATCCCTCATATTAACCTCAGACCCACAACCCAAAGACCCCTGAGGGACGCAACCCGGAAAAGCCGCAGATGGCAAGGATGGACACGCAGGGGCTACCTGATGCGTCAAAACTGGACGCAGACGGTCCCTGACCAAGTGTCAATATGTTGACCAGTCCGACATGAGAATGTGTGTTAGTTGTTCAGCTACAATTCTTTCACAGACAAAGTGTCTTACTTTTCAGCAAGGGAAGGGACGGCTGAGGCTGCTCTAAAAACAAAATGATGCAATTTTCATCACACAACTGCAACAATGAGAGTCGATTTCCCATCTTTTGATGGAGCGTGGGGCCTTCTAGAAGAGATGGAGGAGGTGGCTGTTGAAAGAGATGCCTAGGCCTCCCTGCTCAGACTGCTGCCCCAATGACCTGACTACAGAACAAGCACCAGATAATAGATGGATGTATAATCTCTTAGTTTAAACATTTGGTGTGTTGACTATGTCTCATTGTGAACAAAATATGGGTTTATGAGATTTGCAAATCACTGCGTTCTGCTTTAATTGACATTCTACTCAGCGTCTTAACTTGGTCAGATTTTGGTTTGTACTTTCCGCTGTTTGGGTTTGGATCGCACGCTCTGATTAGGACCACTTCCTGTCTGTTTTTCCAGCCAGAATCTGGCATGAAGTGTTTATTCTGACAATTATACCAAATAAATAAATAAATAAAAAAAAAACAATTTTCTGCAGCTTTCATCAGTACATCATCATGTTTCTCTTGCTGCCGTCACACACGATCTGCCATTCCACCCCCCCCCCCACACACATTTTTTTACGCTCCCACTGGGAGGAGGCCCAGTAAACTGGGAGCACTGGCTAATGGGCTGAGTCACACCAGACACACCCTCCAGATGTGTGGAGCAAAGGACATATGTCAGTGTGCGAAAGTTAAAAGATGATTCATTCCTTTTACACAACAGAGATATAAAGTCATGTTACATCTTAAGGTCTCTGACCCATTGGGAGTGACTCATGTGCCTTTCGACAGCAGCTGATAACACGTGACAGGCCGGTTCTTGTTAACGGCAATTAAAAGGCTCTGTGATTAATGGTTTTCTGAAAGTTGCCGTCTGGATGAGGCAATGAAAGAGCAACAAAACCATGTGGAGTTCATCTTTTATTGACCTTTATTCTGTTTGCGACGTTTATCAGTCGACACCCACAAAGATTACCAGCTTGAATAAACTTGCTGCATTTTTTTATTCTGTGTGGGAGACTTGAGTGGTTTACTTATCTTATTGAATACTTATCTCAATCCTACCATTGTGATATACTATTGGCTTTTATTAGCATTCAACGAAGAATAGGTTCATTTTTTTCTAGGAAAATGGAGCTCTGGAAAGAAACTGGATTACCTGGAGAAAAGTCACACAAGCATGGGGAGAACGTGTAAACAGAAAGGTCAGGAGGTGATTCTGCGAGCGTCTTGGCATGAGGTGACAGCTCTAATTATGCCGCTGCCCACATCTTATACATTTTATAGATTTTTTTATTTTTATTCTTGGATTGCCTGCTAAACTAACCCCGCCTATGCGATAAAGCTTAAAGCCCTCTTAGGGGCCCACATGCAGCACAGATAACATATCTGCCCTTTGTTTTCTCCTCCTGCTCCCATCAGTCTCCTTATCGGCTACTTTTCTGAAATTCCTCCCCTCTCTTCGGTTTGAGTCCTCGGCTTCTTTCAACGAGGCCGTAATATGAAGCATATGGCTGTGTGGAATCATCCAGACAGCTTTACAGTCACTCACATGCAAAAGTCTCGGTCTCTCGCAAGAGTGGCTGGGTCGTGCATGGACCTCGTTATGGTCTGCTTTGTAGCCGACACACACATGCACATCTAGACACACACTTTACCCAGCTGCTGTGGGGCTAAAAACTGGAGTAAATAAGGAAACTCTCACTTCTGTTGGGAAACCAGCCTTAATGGGAGTCTGACTGGAAGATAAATGGTGCTCTTTGTAAAATTCTGCAGTTGTGCACTTTCTAAATCGAATGAACTACAGCAGAAATATTCCCATCTCCTGTTTTTACTTAAATCTTCATTAACAACACACCAACCGACAGCACACAAACCCAACGCTATGTAGTGATTCATCTGAGACTGGAAGATGTTATTTTGCTTTGAACAGTTCATATGAATCAGTCCTGACTGCTGCGAGCACAAATAAACAGAAGGCAGAGAGACAGGGCTTCGCCAGTCTGCCTGGACATGGCATGGGAATACAGGCGCACTGCAGAGGAACTGCAGGTCAGGCTGGGAATTTCTCAGAAGCTGAAAGAATTTCCAGCATTCATTGCAGGTTCAGATGTGTGGGAGGCCGGTGGGAAGATGCCAGACAGCTATTAGTGCGCGCCATCGAACAAGCTTCTTGTTTTGGTGTTTTCGGGTTGCTTGGATTTGGAGTTTAAAATGTCTGCATTCTTTGAATTTGTACTGAATACAGAACTCATTAATTTAGTTGAGGAAAACTGCTTTGTTAGGTTTATTTATGAGTGAATCCAGAAGACATATTCCACTTTAGAACTGGTGAGACACTAGGTTAACATACAATTGCATGAAAAAGTATGTGAACCCTTTGTGATTTTTTGGATTTTTGCATAAATTGTCTGTTGTGACTTTGATGAAGATCAGAACACATGAACAAACACAGTCTGCTTAAAAAATGATATGTTTGCATGGTTTTATTGAACTCAACATGTAAACATCCACAGTGCATGGTGGAAAAAGTATATGAACCTTTGGATTTAATAAGTGGTTGACCCTCCTTTGGCAGCAATAACCTCAACCAAACGTTTCCTGAAGTCGCAGATCAGACCTGCAGAACCGTCTGGGAATTTTGAACCATTCCTCTTCACAAAACTGTTTTAGTTCAGCAATATTCTTGGGACATCTGGTGTGAATTGCTCCCTTGAGGTCATGCCACAGCTTCTCAGTTGAGTTGAGGTCAGGACTCTGACTGGGCCACTTCAGAAGGTGTATTTTCCCAGTGAGAATCCCAAAGGGTTCACATGGTTTTTCATGCAACTGTACAACTGTACAACTCTGGCCTCATGATTGTTTCTATCTGACTTGACCCAAAGCATTTCAGTCTGTATGACTGTAATGAGTTACATTCTTTAAATCACGTGCTTTAATTGCTTACAAAAGATGTGTTCCTCCAAACGTCGAGCTAATGATTAAAAGGAATCATAAAACAGAAAAGAAAAGGAACAACGTATCACATCTTCAGCTGTGTAAATGTTACAATGTCAGTTTATTGCTTTTTTGCTTCTTTGTTTAAAGTTATAAAAAAAATCACAGACAAGGTTTTTATTATTTCACTTCTTTTATTTTTGTTGGCAAATTTGTCCCTCCCCCTCAGTTTTTAACTGGTTGCAACCTTTTCGCTGGATTTGATGTCTTTGCTCTCTGCCACTACTTTGCCATCGACCAAAGTCTGAGTGACGGTCACCACTTTGGTCTGGACTGTCTTTGAATCGACGGCGTCCTCCAGTCTATTAGAATAAAAAAAAACATGAGTTATAACAAATGTACACACTGCAAGGGAAATTGAGTCTTTTATACATTTACGGAAACAATTATCCTTTCGAAGTTCCCAGCTGCTCACCTGTGTCCACACATGACCCTTTTATTTTTTCAGATCAAAGCTACTCTACCTTTTGCATGAAGCTTATTTGAATCAGAAATGCAAAGTCTTGTCTGGTTAGGGTTGGGCAGTGGTGATTCTGTGAGTTCACTAATCCAGACATCAGGCTTTAAGCTATCAGGCAAAGCTACTACAGGATCTTTCACGTCCTCTTTTCCTTTTTTTCCCACTTTCCTTCCCGTCATACTCACCTCAGGTCTGTTCCTCCGTCCAGCAGCCTCCTGTACTCGGCGATCTCGGCCTCCAGTTTCACCTTGATGTTCAGCAGGACCTCGTAATCCCTTGTGTTATGATGGATGTCGGTGCGGATCTGAGTTAACTCATCCTGCAGCCTCAGGATAATGGCATTGTACTTCTCCATCTCCATGTTGTAACGCAGCTCCACATCGCGCAGGGTGGCTTCCAGAGACGCTTTCTGCCAAGGAGGCGACAGCAGAGACATTTAGTAACATTTTCTGTGGTTTTGCTAAAGATATGCTGTGGAAGATTGGTAGAAAGATGACACAAAGCACCAACAGAAAAATAGTTAGGCTTTCTTTCTGATTTGTTTTTATATTAAATGAAACAAACGTTTTTACCAGACTAAGGGCGGACTGAAGGTCAATATCCATAGACTGGTACTTCCTCCTAGTTTCACTCATCACACTCGCTGCCTCCTTTAGAGCTGATGAGCTCTCAGTGACTTGCACCTGCACCTCCGTGATCTGAATACAAGAGAAAAATGTGAAGGTTTTTTGCAAAAAACATCTAAAAATGAAATGAAGACAACAAAAAACCAATCTGTTGTTGGTTTATGCTTTCCCAGCTGTGCTCCTTTGTACCTGAGATTCATGCCAGTCTTTGAGTTCCTGTTGGTTCTTAAGTGCGATCCTCTCATATTTTTCCCTCATTTCTGCCATGATCTTGGCAAGGTCCTGGCCTTTTGGAGCATCAACATCCACATGGACGCTGGCCTGGGTGATCTGGGCACGCAACTCAGCAACATCCTGTTGAGAAGGAAATAATGAGGGAGGGATTTCCTGAAAGCTGAAGGGGGCTACACCATTCAAAAAGGTTAAGAAACCATCTGCCAAAGTGGTTGATTGTATTGCACATATGAGTTCAGTGCAAATCAGCTGGAGTGGACTCAACGTCATCATACCGTCTTGTGGTTTTTGTTCAAGGTGATCAGTTCTTCCTTCAAAGACTCAATGTCACCCTCGAGGTGCATCCGTAAGACATTAGTGTCGTCCAGGAGCTTCCTCAGTCTGGCAACATCAGCCTCCACCGTCTGCCGCATCGACAACTCATATTCCATCCTATGAATGTACACATTTCATCAGACATGGGAATGTTGGGTGGAGGAAACTGTCTGCATTTGCTGCTGAATACTCACTTCATTCTGAAGTCATCTGAAGCCAAGCGTGCGTTGTCGAGAGCGATCGCAAGTTGGGCATTGCCCTTGATCATGTCAAGGATCTGAAATAGATTAAAATGTGTAAAAGATATATACAGTATTTTGATTTTTATTCTGTGTCAATGTTTTTCTCTTGTATTGATTTTATTGCACATGGTTGATGCATTGTTCAGGTAAAACTACAACTGGCCTTTGAGAAGTTGTAATTTTTTTTCCAGGTCCAGGTTTATTCAAATTCCAAAAGGGCAATTAATGTTACTTTGGCCATAGATCAACATGAGCATAAAGATAAAGGACAGATAATAAATGTTAGGGAATCATTAAAGGTGAGTGGGAGTTAGGCAGTGCACAAGCAATTCAACCTGGAATGACTTTTGCTCCCAAGTTACGTCACATTTGGGTGTGTACAAGGTACAACCAAAGTGTTGTTTTTCAGCAAAAAATAAAACTACAAACGTTTTATTTATCTGGTGGTTTTGAAAAACCATTTCCAAATACAAGACATGTCAATTTTATTGTTTGACTGTATTGTTTTGTTTTGTATTCACAAAAAAACCCCACTATTCCATCTTTTGCATTGCGTGTTGCCTTGGTCTAAATGAGTCCGATCCCAACTGACACTTTAGTTTAATTCACTGGTCCTCAGTTTTTGGACATCTTTGAGCAAGGCACCATTCAGAAACTGTATGCATTTGTTTAAATGAGGGAATTGGAAGCATATTGTAAAATCACTGCAGTAACACAAAGATTCATTATGTGTATGGATCATCTAATGGCTCACCTTTGACCTCAGCTCTGCGATGACTGCATTGTACTTGTTGTAGTCCCTGCTTTCCAAGGGGCCCCTCTTCTCGATGGTCTCTCTGATCTTGATCTCCAGGGAATTGTTGGCCTTCTCCAAACTCCTCACCGTCTCCAGGTAGCTGGCCAGGCGGTCGTTCAGGTGCTGCATGGCGATCTTCTCGTTTGCAATGGCCAAGGCGTCAGCGGCTGTCCCGGAAGACTGGTAGTCAAAACCGCCACCGAAGCCGCTGCCAACCCGGGTGCCATAAGTGACGGTGGACGTGGAGATCTTGGTCCCGTGGCCCCCTGCCCCACCACTGACACTGTGGGCGTAGGCCCTCTGCACAGGTCTACCGGCGTAACCAGAGTAACCTGAGAAACCAACGTTCTGAGAGCTCTGGCGTCTGATGAGGGGCTCCATGTTGGAAAGACGTGTGCTGATCGATCGGAGGTGAAGGTCTACTGAAACAGAGGAGCTCGCCGCTGAGAGTGGAGGGGAAGAGAGATGGTTTGGGGTTTTATATGCGACACTGAGCACCAAAAATGCCTTCCTGCCACTCCTTTTCTATCTTTATGGCATTTTTATCTTTATACCTTTTGCTGAAACTTTGTCCCCTCTTGGTTTTCAGGTATCTTTCAAAGGCAAACAGATATGATGACATATTCATTTCCACAGTGTGTAGTAAAGAAACTGTACCTATGGTAACTGAACATGAAAAGCACCAAAAAGAGCAAGTGTCTGTAATAGAAAAATGCACTTTTGTAAAACTACCCAGCTGTTTAGGAAATTCTTTTTAAAATGAAACAGTTTTCTATCTGTGTTTTAAAAAATGTATTTATGCTTAAAACGGGTGGGTTTGAAACACATTGCTACATGTTAAATCAAATTATGGGAAAAAAAACACATTTTAATACAGACAAGATGTTTTCTTTGAACTGAAAGGCTCAAATTAAAAATGGAAGAAAACATTTGGGTTTGTTGCTTTAGACGTCAGTAAAATACAATCCAGGACAAAAAGAGTTGTTCATGATAAGGTGTATCAGAAACAAAATATCCTAGCACTTGTTATATGTTTTTCTAAGAGTTTTAGTTTTGCAATAGGTTTCATGCCAATAAAAACTTTTTTTCTCGTAATTCAACAATCCAATGGGAAGCTGTAAAACTCTAAGGTACAAACTAACCCTTCCTGGAATTGTGTGCTGTCTGTTTTTGTTTCACAATGCTGCATAATATTACTTTTTCATATTATAGTACACACTAAAATCTGCTTGGTTGTTTTGATTACTCAATTATTGGGTTAAAGCTGTTGGGTCAAACAGTGGGTTATGTTGGTTTGACCAAACATTGGGTCAAAACGTTTGACCCTGTGGTCGGAGATGATGTGAAGTGCTATCATTGTATGCTCCCAGTGATTAAATTAGTTCTCTGCATTTGGACCATCACATGTCAGATACACACAGGTGGAGCTATGGGCTGCTATTAGGCACCCGCAGGAAGCAGTTAGGGAATAGGTATGTTGCTCAAGTACATCACAATGTGTGGGCATTTAGAAACCCGATTGTCCAATTTAAATACTTAACAATATAATTAGTTTGAAACAGAATACCAGAAGCCTACCTCATACCTGCCAACATCTGCTGACAACAATGAGGAATACCTGTTCATGCTACCAAGCAGCTGTGGACTAGTGTTGTAGTACTTGAAACCGGTCTTGGTCTTAAGACTGGTCTCAAGACCACTTTTTGATGGTCTTGGTCTTGTCTCGGTCTCGCCCTCCCTTGGTCTTGGTCTCGACTTGGTCCAAACCCTAAAAGTCTTGGTCTTGACTTGGTCTCGGGTTAGGTGGTCTTGACTACAACACTACTGTGGACTGAAGCAGTTCTAGGGGGGTCAACAACAATTTGAAGAGCATTTTACTGAATTCTTGGGATTAATAAAACAAGATAAAATTGGTATTTTATGAGGGTAGAACACTGAAAACCAGACTTTAACCTGAACTTTTTCTGAGATCATAATTGAAATTCCTATTATCCCTACTTCTGTTTTCTACAGTATTTACACAGTGAGCACCAGCAGTTAGTCTTGACTTCATCTTATTATATCATAAAATATACTCTACACCATATAATAGCTGATAAAAAGTTATAGAATATTTTGTGTCCCCCATTTTTGGCACACCCTAGACGGAACCCCTTTGCATTTGCCTATACTACCTATGCCACAGGCCGGCAAATAAAAATATTGCATGTATTTCTAACCAAATTCCCCCAAAATAAAACCGTTGCAAAGTAGAGAGTAAACGTTTTTGATTTTTTAATCTTCTTGGTTTTTGCTTTTATTCCAAATTCTTCTAAAAACAAAACATATTTTCCCTTTCATTTCACTTCTGTAAATCCAAAAATTGGTTTATTTTTTTTTTACAAAGCGCAAATTAACAAACTGTTGAATTTCACCAACTTTCACCTTTGTTCATATAAAACAAACTAAAGTATCGATCCCACCTTGCTGGGATTCATCCAGTACTTGTACCAACACTGATTGATGATTTTCATTCCCCATTCCCATGATTCACTCAGATTAATCCCAGTTTGAAAGAAGAAGCTGTTTAAAAAGCAGATTTTTTTGTTCCAAAAAAGATTTATTGAAATGCCTGAACATCACAGCACAGCAGGGAGACTGAACTGTAGGGAAAGGAAAACCAAACACGATGAACATTACACATAAAAAACTTGAAATTTATGTTGACAAATTTTTTATTTATTTCACCATTCCCATGATTCACTCAGATTAATCCCAGTTTGAAAGAAGAAGCTGTTTAAAAAGCAGATTTTTTTGTTCCAAAAAAGATTTATTGAAATGC